GCTGTGCAGCTCATGGCAGCTGTGGATCTACCCTCCCAGTGACCAGGACACTTCTTCTCTCAGAGAAAGGGCACGGGAGCTCTGTACCAAAGACCAAAGGGAGCTGCACCTGTAGAGGTGAATTCCTGGCATCTTTCACTGATCTTTTCCCCTGGGGCTACGTGAGTTCATGACCAGGTAAAAATGAGCTCAGTAGCCCAGGCCATGGCAAAAATTGCCCTAGAACATCAAGCAGCAAACACAGAGGGAGGACATCGTTAATGGGTGCCTAATTATCTCTAGAATTGCAGCATAACTCTGAAACCATTCCTGCATCAGAGCTGCTGCTGGGACACCTGAACTCTTTGCCTTCACCCAGGGTTTGCACAGAGCCTGGAGTGAGCTGCCATGGGGAACTATTACCTGACAATGCCCTTCCACAGGCTGTTGTTTTGTCCCAGTACAGGTGGACTGATGTTGTACCTGCCACGACAAGCCCTGAAATCTGTCTGCCAGAGAGGAAGACAGACAACTAGTGAATGACTTTGTCCCTGGCTGAACAGTGTCCAGCCAACTCACACCAAGCCCTGTGTCCCTGGCACCATGAAGCTCTGCCCTTGCCCAAGAGGCACCCTGAAAGCTCTTTGCACCTCAGAGCTCACAGCTCCCAGAACAGCTTTGCTCCTTCAAGTCTTAAAAGTCTCTTTACTCACTCTTGGGCTTTGGAAAAAAAAACCCACCAGTAATATTAAAAGGGAGGAATTATCCCAAATCTGATTGTGAAGCAAGAGTCCTGAGAGCAGGATTCTATGCACAAGCTCATGAATAACCCTGTTGTTATTAAAAAGGACTGGAAAGCCAAAGCAGACCCCCCTGGGGCAGTGTGAGGCTAAAGAGCTGGGCTCTGTCCCTCCATCCCATGTAGAGCTGTCTCTAACATCCTCATGCAAGTCATGAGTCCCAAGGGGCCATGATCTCCACGGGTGGGGAGTATCAAAAGCAAGGCAAAGCAAAAACTCTGGGACTAATGCCTCTTCCTGTGTATTTTTTACAGGAGATGCTACCTACCTGGACATCTTCTGGGAGTTCTCTCACATGGCTTCAAACAACCCTGAGAAACTGAAAAGGAGGAGCCTGCACTTCAGCCACTCGTGCAGATAGCCCCCTGCCTCCCTGCTGCTGCCAAGACCTTCTGCTGGAAGGTCCAGCTGGGAGCTGCTGAGCTCCAGGAAGAGCAGAAGCACCTGGGCAGGTGCCACAGGCCAGCTGAGCTCAGCTAGTGAAGACTCTCTGCTCAGATGGGCTTCTACCAGCAACCTGTGTTCTCCCTGGGACCTGCTTGTGAGTCCTGCCCAGGAAGAGGAGAGACCTTCCAGGGGCAACTCCAGAAGAGGTTTGCATCCAGACTGCAGCTGTAGGTCCCATGCCTGAGGTGCCTGGGTGCAATCTGAACTGAGGAGCTGATCTTGCAGCTCTTGGTGCCCTCCCTGCCTGGGGAACTCTCCCCCTTCAGTCCCCTGCAGCCAGCAGCACTGGTGCCACTGGTGCAGGTGTTCAGCTATGGGCACAGCTTCGTGCTGCTGGGAAGAGACCAAGTCTGAAGGGCTCAGAAAATGGAGAAGTGGATGCTGCAGAATCTCTCGTGGGGGTGTCACTGGACCAGGCTGCTCCTGAACAGCCAGCACTGGCCACGGGATGTGATTCCCTGTGACCCCACATGCACACCCCCCATCCTCTCACAGGACAAAGGCCACCAGGGACACCAACAAGCCACAAGGCTCCTTATCCCAACCAGTCCCCTGAGAAACCTTTGGCAAAACACTTCATTTTGCTGTGTGACTCACCTTTTAAGACACCTCTGCCACGCTCTGGGATACTTGGGTGGGCATGGACCAGGAGATGAACCCCTCTCCATGGGGACTGCACAAGCAATCCTGGCAACAGACTCCAGCTCTTCCCCTCAGGGGATCTTGCTCTCCTGCTGCTTGTGCATCTCACTGGCAGGAGAGTTGTCCTCTCTGGGGGGCTCAGATTTCAGAGTTATACTTGGCATTTTTATTATTGTATGTCCTAGTTACCAAACCCACTAAAAGGTTGTGTGTGGACTCTACAGGTGTAGGCACCACGACGTAACAAAGAGCACTGGCAGGATGATCTGTAGGAACTCTCACATGCTGCCATGTGCTAGATCCTGTGGCAGAAGAAAGGTATTTTATTTTTAAAAGGTGGGAGTGACAAAAATCTCCCATGCCAAGAGGATCTGTCAGCTGAGAATAAAGACAGGAGTTGTGGTGGGGTTGTTTTTAATTCACACATATTTCCTCGTTCTGTCTGATTCTAGATCTCCTCCAGCCAGTGAAGCACTTTACTATGAGAAAGGTTAAAATAGGAAATTTTTCTGGCACAGGTTTATGGCTTGAAAAGAGGAAGCTAAACAAACTGGGCAGTGGCTCAGGGCTCAGGGGGGTGGGTCTGCAGGAGAGCAGCTGCCCCTTGGACTGCTGGCAGCCCTCTGGAGAAGAGCTTGCCACCCAGGGAAGGGACCCCAAGCGACCTGCTGCCTTTCCTGCTGCTTAGCTTGAGTTTCTGGCCAAGGAGCAGCTCTCACAGGAGCTTTCCATGGGGGCAGAGCAATCGCCTGGCAGCCTGAGGAGGGAGCTGGGGCTCTGGGTTCAGACCTTTCTGTGTCATTGCTGTGGGGTTCTGGGTTTAACAGCGACCCCCATTTGTGCCTCAGCTTTGGCTCCTTGCTGGAAATGAGCAGCTGAGGCACAAGGAGCTGCACACAGGACAAGAGTTTCAGTGATGGTATCACAGGCACTGAGGTATGACTCTAGTGAAGAATTTGTGTTTCTCAACTCCAGCAGGCTATGGGAATGTTCTGTAACAAAGAGGTAGCTACTAAGCTGAAAATTAGCCCACACCCTCTGAGAAGGCTGCTCTGAGCTACCTTCAGACTGGCCACCTCTCATTCTTCCACTAGCTCAGAAACCATTCTGTCACTCTGCTGAAGGTGGCACCAGCAGAGGTGAGGCCAATTTTCCCCATCTCCCTCTCCACAGTGACCCCCACACCTTTTTCCCCTTCCAGTCCTGTGTCTCCATCCTGCCCATGGACGTTGCCCACCCACACCCCGTGCTGCCAGGGCCTCTCCTGCCTTGCAACACCCCTTGCTCCTCTGGGCCTGCACGTGTGTGAACTGCAGCACACACCCCTGGGGAGAGATCCCTGTCTCACATTGCCACATCCTCCTTCCAGATCTGACCAGCAGGCAGACATTGCCACCTGGTCCTTGGTCCTGCACGCCTCTGCCCCAGAACTGCCTTCTCCTGGAAATCATCACACCCAGCAGAAGCCTGCAGTGACACTCTTGGTGCACTGGGAGCCCTAGAAAGGTTCTTCCACCAATTTCCTCTTCCTTAACCCTTAACCTTCCCATTAGGTACCAGTGGTACCAGGTCTGGGGACTCTGAGAGGGGCTCTGAGAGCCAAGTGCACATGTGTGCACATGTCCATGTGGGTGTATACCTGAGGCACTGGCATCTTTCAGCAGTGACTGCATGGCATCCACGTGAATTTTGGCTCCCCAAGGGACATCTAATTCCTTTCCTCTCTTTCTTGTCCTTAGTGCTTTTTGTTTTCATGGTCTCCTCTCCCAACAGGGTCACCCAGACTACAGTATGGCACAGAAATCACTCTTGCCAGGCAGTACAGAAGCCTCATTTCCCAGTGCAGAGACCCAGAGGGAAGGCTGAGCCCCCCACTGCCCTGGAGCCCACACCTCCCTGGTCACTGGGACCTGCCTGCTGTGCCACAGCACAATCCAGCTGGGGCTGCTCCACCTCTCCAGCTTCTCCTTGGGAATGACAGAGAAATCAAGCCAAAAAAGTGAGACTTTCAAAAGCACCTTCGTGTTTGGTTTCCAGTGGTGTCAGCAGGCTGTGAGCTTCCACCTCTGTGTCTGGAAGCAAAACTCTTTTCATGATTTGGCTCTGTGTGTTTAGGCTTCTGGAATTAAGGTCTGGGCTTTGAAAAACACTTTTCCAGAGCCAACAATTAGGCAGGAACAACCCCAAACACCAGCTGAAGGCAAACCACCAACTCCACTGCCAGTCTTAGTCTGGATTCAGAGCATTTTATTATTTAAAAACCTTACAAAACAAAGCTCATTGATTTCTTGTTACCTCTTGTTTTCTGCAGAAAGTCACAAACAAGATTATAACAGAGTAAAATGCTCCTGTGCAAACACCATCATCAAAAATAAACCTTTTATGTACACATAAGTTACTGTCAAATATTAACATCACAACTTCTCTATTTATAAACAGGCTGCAACAAAAACGCAGCATTGTTTTCATCTCCTAAATAAATCAGATGCTTCCTCTGGGACACAAACCAAGCTATCAACCCCTTCCTTCTCTTCCCTTTAAGCTCCTAAGTCTCGTTTGAAATAATCTGGGTAAAGTTTAAAAGCATCTCAGCAGCAGCATTCTGTGCATGGTCCTCAAAACGCAGCAGTGCCAGGTCCAGGGCAGATGGGGGGTTTGGAAGCAGGGCTGCAATCTCTGGTGACTGGTGCTCTGCCCTCCTCAGGACACCCCTGACTGACAGGAGCCTCCACTGGAGGTCTTTCCATCACCAGCCAGGCTGACTTGCCTCTTGGATATGTTTGTGAAATGTAGATGGGCCTGTCTGAAGCCACTGGGCTGATTTCCTCACAAGGATTTCAAAGCTAAAAGGCAGGAACAGGCTTTTATGAGACCTCATCAGCTGCCCCAGACAGTACAAGTAGTTTTCCCCTCCCCAGATACTCATTAGGAACAAAAGAACATTGTGTGAAGCCTGAATCCAGGGCACAGGGATGGATTAATAATGGGCTGGTAAGAGCTGGAGGAGGATTGCCAAGCTCAGCAGTGTGGTGTTGAGGTGCCAGAATGGTTCTGTTGACAGATATTTCTGACAGCACCTGAGCCCTGGGGGAGTTTGAGGTCTCCCACTTCTCTGTGCACACAACCAGACCCTCAGCTGTTGGGGTGCCCACCCAAAGAGCTGTCCTGTGTGTGTCTAAAGCCATTGAGCACCACCTCTGGGCAAAGCTCTGGCCTTCCCACCTTGCTGGAGAGTGGGTGAGGATGCAGGTCACTGTTATTGTCCATGGCAACAGCCACTCCAGAAGGGGGAGGAGGGGTGGAGCCATCCCCCTCCCCAGCTGCCTCTTGCACAACTCGGTAGTTTTCTAGGGTCAAGCTGACACTCGAGATGGTAGGAGTGTGAGCTACCTTCAATGTCTTCTTTGCCCTGAACCTTTGGTAGCAGAAGAGGAGAGACAAGACAAGTGTATCTATGAGCAGCTCAAACATTTCCACCACAGACAACACCGAGGATCCAAACCAGAGGCTCCACTGGCTTCCCATGCTGGACAGAAGCAGGTTCTCCTGTGGAAAGAACCAAAGGTTGTGTTTACCAAACACAGCAGACCTCTGGGAAGGGGAAATTCTTGCCTATTGCCAGCAGGCCAGCTAGCTGCTTGAAATTTGGGGGGTTAATTTTGTGTGATTGTGGAAAATGTGACCCTTTCAAGGCTCTTCCTCAAAAATAATCCTCCCTTACACCTTGGGGGCTGTGAATAACCCTCCCTCCAACCCTGCAGAGCACACCACGGCTCATGAGAGGTAACAAGGTTTTGAGGTGAGGTCGTGGAACCTACTGAGAGCAAAGGAGACTCGTTCACAGACTGGTAGTTCAGCTGCTGGTAGAAGATGGTCACCTTGGCAATATCCTTCCTGTGTTGGAGAAAGGGAGAGGTTAGCCCTGGGGGGATGTCCATGTGTCGTTCCCCTGGTGGACATTCTGGTCTCAGTGTTGGCTCATAGCTGGCCAGTGGGTCTCACCACTCATTCAAGCTTTCTTCCTGAGGGTGTTTAACATGAGCTTGGGAAAAGCTTGTAGAAACTGCCTCTCTTACAGTGCTGTGAGGAAAGGTGGGAAATTCAGTGGCTGACCCATCTCTTGTCCTCCCTTTCCAGTCCAGCACCTACCAATCCCACAGGGATGGCTGGGGAGGGACTTTTTAGGATCTCAAGTAACAACAGGACTAGGGGGAGTGGGGCAAAGCTGGCAGTGGGCAGATTCAGGCTGGATTTGGTTTACACCTCTTGCATCTCACTCCAACTCTACACAGGGGTCCAAAGATTATTAGACCAAAGATTCAGAAACAATTTGGTTATTTGGGTAATGACAGGAGTAGGGGGAATGGGGCAAAGCTGGCAGTGGGCAGATTCAGGCTGGATGTGAGGAAGAAGTTCTTCCCCATGAGAGTGGTGAGACCCTGGAATGGGTTGCCCAGGGAGGTGGTTGAGGCCCCATCCCTGGGGGTCTTTAAGGCCAGGCTGGAGGAGGCTCTGGGCAGCCTGATCTAGTGGGAGGTGTCCCTGCTCATGGCAGAGGGGTTGGAACTGGGGGATCCTTGTGGTCCCTTCCAACCCTGACAGATTCTGATCTGTTTTAGCAGAGGGCTTTAGAGCCCTAATGGCTCAATGGTTGGACTTGATGATCTTGGAGGTCCCTTCCAACCTAAAGGATTCTATGATTCTATGATTCTATGATGGAGTTCATGCAGAGTTTGAACAGGAGCACCTTCCCCCAGGGACTAACCTGTTGCTGGTGGAGTTATATCCATTCTGATGCCTCAGAGCCTGGCGGATCCAGTCCTGCAGCAGAGAACGTGTGTGTGTGTTATGGCCAACCCTCTCTCCTCAGGTTTTGCATGTTGAATATTTTATAAGCAACAAAATGCTCATTGTAAAGAATAACAAAGGATGTAATTGGCTGGTGGATGACATTTAGTGGTAGCTATCAACTAGCTGCTGTATTTGCCAGAAGAGCCAGGAAATATACACTGATATTTGAGGGGTGTAGTGATCTGGGTCTTAAATTCTGCCTTTAACCCCACCAAATAATTTGCTCTTTTAAAATGCATTGGCTGTATTTAAGTGTACATCATCCCCTATTACACAGGGATTAATTAGCTGGTCATACAGCCTCAATGCCCATTTAACTTTAGAGCCTGGGAAATGGCAAGAGGTCATCTCCTGACTCACAGAGCTTCCACTGCAGCCCTGCAGCACCTCACCAAGAGTAATGAGTGAGTTGCTGCACCACAACACCCACTGGAAGCAGAAAGTCATTAGCACCAGGCTGTAGGTGGGAACTAAGGCAGAGAGGTGAATTGCTTGAGGTCTGAAGGAAGTTTGGCTTAGAACTGGCACTGAATGTACCTCCCTAGCCTCTTAGCCTGGCATCTCAACTGCAGGATCAGTCCCTTGGGCCCAGGTTTTGGACCAGTTTGTGTTATTTGCCACTTTCATTGCTGCTCAGTCATTGTTTTCACCCTGAAGTTTAATGCCCCAGCAGCCCCAGTAAATACAGTCCCCCCCTAAACACAGCAGTTGTCTCTATGGACTACCTGAGATTTCACTGATGGCCACTTAGCTGTCCCAGCAGACACCTTGTACAGTGATTCCCTGATGAGATAAAAAGGGAGATTATGATCACTGAGACTCTTGGCATTTAAAAGTGAAGGCATGAAGAAGTTGAACAATGGTAACTACTTGCCCAAACCAGAAGTTCTAAGGGCAGCTCTGGATAACCCTGGAAAAACCTTTGTAAAGCAGCTTAGAAAATAAAACCAGAGGTTGTCTGGAAACATTTCAGGTCAGGAGGAAAACTAGAAGGGTTTAAAAATCCTGACAACTTTTCTTTGCTGCATTCAAAACCAAAGTATTTTATATTTTGCTTTGAAATGATGTCTTTTCTTTTTGAAACTGGCCTACAATAAAAAAGGGGGATGAAGAAAAGTAAAATAGGGTGGAAAATGACACAGTTTGGTTTGGGGTTCATAAAATATTTCAGTGAGATTAAAACAATTCTACCCCAGAATTTGGGGTTCTACCCCAAACCAGGAGAGTGACCTACCTGCAGGGCTTGGGGCACTGGTCAAAACAATTGAGGTGATGATTTCTGAGCCTGTTGTAGAGCTGGTAAAAGCAGTGACCTGGTGAAAGAAATGGGAGAAACATCCTCAGGCACTTCCTGGGGAAATCAGAGGCTACCAAGTGGAAGTCTGCCACAACCCCTGCCCTCAGGTGGCCTTCCAAGCATCACTGGATCCTCCCTCAGGTCAGGTTTTGCCTCACTCTCACTTTGGAATGGTTCCAGATGGGAACTAAACACCTGCATTGGAGGCAAGTGCCTTCCTTGTGGATCTGCTGAGGATAGCCCAGCCAGAAACCCAAGAGAATCTACTCAAAGCTTTGTCTTACACCACCACCACTGGTCCTGTGGCAGAACTTAACCCTAGATCAATGGTGTTAATAAAGAGGTGCTTGACAGCATCAAGATTTTTCATGCACTAATTTGATACCCATGCAAATAGCCAGGAAGGTGTTGGCCATCTGGCTGGAGTCAGTCAGGAGATGATAGTCTAGGTGGGAAATGGGCACAAAGGAGAAGGGCAGCAATCTATGGAGCCATGGAACCAGTGGAGGGTGTCCCCATGGCCAAGGAGACAGCAATCCTCTGCTCTTACCCCAGGCAGGCTGCTTGTTGTAGTCACAGTATTCAGCCCCAGGAGGCAGTGGGTAGTAGTAGTAGCCACAGCCAAAAAGTGTGAAAAGCAGAAATCCAAACAAGCCTGGAAAAGAAAGGAGGTGTGAAAAGCTGGATAAGCCACAAATTCTCCAGTGCCCAAACCTTCAGTCTGCAGCATGCAGCTGCCAAGAGCCAACCCAGGGATTTTGGAACTGCAGAAAGTCACCAGAGCTTGCTGGTGCAGAAGGTTTCCACTTCTCATTCCCTGTCTGTACCTCTGAGAACCCTCCTGAACTCAGCAAGGTACAATTTCCTCCAGCTCCCTCTTTCATTATGCCCAGTAATATCCCACTTAAATAGCCCAAAAGTCTAGAGGCAGGAGGAGCTGCTTGCACAAATAAAGACCTGATGGACCAAGAGTGTCCTACTAGGTGAGCCCAGCTGCCTTGGCTGGCTCACTGCCTGTTCTCTCTTGTGTTAGGAAGAGGGAAGAGCCCCAGTGCCTGGCTCTGAGCATCTCCCACTCACTAAAGCCCATTCCAAGTTACAACATCCTCTTTGGGAGCTTCTTTTCAGGAGGGGCACGGATCTGCCTCCTCTCTCCAGCAACAAATCCACTGCTTTGTAAAAGCCCTCTGGAGGCCAAGGTATGACTTGTTTGTTGTTCATCCCCTCTGAAGGAGCTGGGGCCTCAGCCAGGAGCCCTGCCAGTACCTGCAGGGTGTAGGAGTTGTTGTACAGGAGTTTAACATCCACATCACTGCCATCAGTGGTGCACTTGCCATAATTGCCACCCAGGCGATTCACCTCGTCCTGTGGACACAGAAGAGTGGCCTGAGTGATTAGGAGCTTTAATTGGCCCTAGCCATCACCAGCCAAAGGGAACTGGATGGAGCATCCTGCACAGGTCAGGAAGTGGAGCAATCTAGGGGAGCTGCTGAGCTATACCTGGCTAATGAAACCTGTACACAACAGGGCAAAGGCAGGAGAGGGCACGTGGTCAGTCCTCTTGCTTCAGCTGACAAGCAGAACTCCTCGTGCCCAAATCATAGAATCACAGAATCCTTTAGGTTGGAAGAGACCTTTAAGATCATCAAGTCCAACCATTGAGCCATTAGGGCTCTATAGTCTTCTGCTAAAACAGATCAGAATCTGTCAGGGCTGGAAGGGACCACAAGGATCCCCCAGTTCCAACCCCTCTGCCATGAGCAGGGACACCTCCCACTAGATCAGGCTGCCCAGAGCCTCCTCCAGCCTGGCCTTAAAGACCCCCAGGGATGGGGCCTCAACCCCCTCCCTGGGCAACCCATTCCAGGGTCTCACCACTCTCATGGGGAAGAACTTCTTCCTCACATCCAGCCTGAATCTGCCCACTGCCAGCTTTGCCCCATTCCCCCCAGTCCTGTCATTACCCAAATAACCAAATTGTTTCTGAATCTTTGGTCTAATAATCTTTGGACCCCTGTGTAGAGCTGGAGTGAGATGCAAGAGGTGTAAACCAAATCCAGCCCCAGCACACTGAGGACCAAAAGGCCACGTGCACATTTGGAACAATTTTGGTTTACCCTTGGAAACCTGAGCACAGCCAAGAGAGAAAAGAGGCTTGTGGGAATCTATGTGCAGGGGGAAGAGGTGAGCCCAGGAGTCCTGCAAGCCCCTTGTCTGGCAGTGAGAAGGAGAAGCAGCAAAGCTCTTGAGGCAGTGGCTGACCTGCTGGATGCCAATGGTGGTTGCAATGCCCGGTCTGATGTCGAAGCCTTCGTGCTCCAGGAAGGGGGTCTGGTTGTGGTTGTGTATCATCACCTTCACACCTGCCACTGTGGACAAGAGTGGGATGTGATCCTTCTGCTCTGCTCTCAGGATGAGGGAAAGTCCTGTGAATCAAAGGAAAGGGAAACATAAACCAACCAACTTTGGGCCAAACTAGGAGCACCATCACATCTTGGATTCTCAGCCCTGATTGAGTCTGAGCTCACACAGGAGCCATTCTTTTTCCTTAGAGATCTGGAGAGTGGTCAGGTGGCAGCTGCACCAGCCTTACCAAACCTGTAATAATATTCTGCTTGAAAATTAAAATTATATCCTGCTTGAAAAGGAAGAAGATGGGCAGACAACATACCGTAAGGAATCCCTGGTTTTGTGGCTGTCCAAAAGGAGTCTGTGCCCTGGCTGTTAAAGGTGTAGCAGCTTCCAAAGACTGGGTGGTGGAAGTGGACATAGTCACTGAAATGAAGAGAGATTTTGATGGGGTTTAGGGGTAATTACTTCCATGGAGGATGTGGTTTGTGTGTCTATCTGTAGAGGAGTGCCAACGGGAAAGAGCTCCCTGGAGACAGGGGCTGCTCCAAGCCTGATTTCTAGGTCCCTAGCCCCATGCAGGGTTGTTCTTCCTCTCAGCCAGCTCTCCAACAAGGGCCAAACCCAGCAGTATGCCACGAGGGGCAGTGCCCTGCACTGCCTCAAAGTGCAGGCTCACTTTGAGTCCCCAAAGTCCTGGAGCTCTGCTGAAATCACAGTCAGCACCTCGAGATGTACCTGGGTCTACAGGGCTCCCCATCGTACTGGCAGGAGTAGACCATGTCTTCTATTTGCTCCTCGTGGTCAGAAATGTTGATTATCACTGGTAGCTGGGACATGATGTTCATGTAGTGAAACCTGTACCACTCCAGGATGGCATCCATCCCAGAGGAATAGGTCTTGTAGAAGCAGCTCCCACCCGTGGCATTGCACTGGAAGAGAAGGAGAGGGAGCCACTCAGCACAGCCAGGAGATGGAGAGAGCAGGGGGGAGGCAAGGCTGGATCCAGGGGAACCTCTGGTTTTTTCAGCAAGTGAAGCCTCTGGTTGTTTTGGTCATCACAGACTTGCAGAATGAGGATGGAAAGGACCTCTGGAGGTCACCTTGCTAGGTGCTAAGCACCTCCTCTCCTTAAAGCTGAATGAGGCCTCCTGCTTCATGTCCAGGGAATGGTGAGTGCAGGGGAAAAGATGCAGGAGAAGGGAGCAGACAAGCAGCCTCAGTGCTTGGGAGAGGGAAGGACAGGGCTGGTGAGAATCCTCCACAACCCATGAATCACAAACCAAGCCCTGAGTGGCTTTCTTTGCTCTTACTCAGGCCTCAGCCAGGTGAACACCCCCAGGTTCTGGTGAAAGTGTGCCTGCTGGAGGACCTCAGGACAGGGCAGGACAATAATAAGGAGGCAAAAATTGCTGACTTTCCCAGCCACATCAGCCTCTGCTAGCTTCTGCTCTTAGAGCTACGCCAGCCCTGTTCTCAGCAGGAGGAATCTGAAGCATTGGCTTTCTTCCCCAGAGCCACAGCCACACATTTATTGTGTTCATCCTCCTGGGCTCTCCTTGCCACCTTTTAGTTCACCTGCAGCACGTCCAGTGCCCCCAGTGCCACAGCATTTAGGCACTGAGGGGCTCCTCACCTTGATTCTCTGTTATTTCCAGGCTCACCTGCTCAGCCTAGCTGGCTGGGGTGTCTGCAGGAAGGGGTACAAGGATTCCCACAGCCTGCTCCCACCCTTCTCCACCGAGCTGGTCAGGACTGTGCCAGTGAGGGGGCTGTGTGAGATCACTGGGGTCACTGTTTCACCTCACAAGAATCCCAGCAATCAGCACAAACTGCTGGAGGCAGGGATGGACTCTCTTGAAACAGCCTCCAAGCTGTCATTACACAGCACTGAAACTATTTTTTATTCTTTTTGTGTGTGTGTGATTGTACCTTGTGAGATCTTTGTCAAGACCCTGAGTGCACTGTCAGAGTTTAACAGCCCTGAGCAGCCTCACCTGGAACCTCCACCCACACCCTCTACCCAGGAGCTCATTTAAGCTCAGCCTGGGGTCTTCAGCCCCTCTTTGAGGTTCTGCTGTGCTCCTGCCTTGCTGTGGGGCCTGATCTTAAACCTGCCTCATCATCATCACCAACCTGCCTGGTGAGTTGGATTCTTGACTGGACCTGGATGTCATCTCTGAGATTTCCCTGCTTGCTTGCTCAGGTACTGTGGGATGGGCCCTATCCTGCCCTGTTGGCAGGTTTCCCCTTTGTCCCCTGTCCCTTGGGGAGCAGCCAGAGCCTTGAGCCAGGTTAAAACCTCAGAGGACACGTGCTTACCAGCCTGAAGCCCACGCTGGAATGCCTCTTCCCTGACCTCTTACTGTGGTCAGGCATTCTTAAGAGTGAGAAGTTCTGGCTCAGCTTGAAGGTAGATCTGCTGACGTTGCCTAGGCTCGACAAGTCCTTGATGTGGAAGTTTTTCTCATCCACGTGGAAGAAGCTGGCTGAGGTGTTGATGCCATACAGAAAAGCAATTGATTTGGCTGCCATACGATCCAGCTGAACCAGATGCTCACTGACCACTTCAAACCTGCAAGGAACAGGAGTATTGGCCCCATGTGGACATCCACATTTCTCTAGATAGCACTTTATTTCATCTGCCCTCACAGTATCTATGGGAAGGCCACTCTCCTGGTCTCTGTGTGAGAAAACTCAGCAATTATGGTGCCCATCCTTAGCATTTCTACCTTCAATACACTAATTTCTTAGCAGCTCCAGTAGCTGAATTTCCAGCTGCTGGATCCTCCACTGAAAACCTCAGAACTTGTAGCTGTGCAGCATCAGCTGCACAACTGGCCTTCCTGTCAGCCAATTAAATAATTACCCCAAGGAAATTACATAATTCCTTTACTACGTAGTTTGAAGCTTCTTGATAAGCTGCCACTGCTGGGTGAGCCTTGCTGGGCAAGCAGAGCCACACAGGCTCCCAAGGAAGTGATATCTTCCCCTTAAAGCCATCCTGTGGTACCAAACCCCTGGTGCCATCAGCTCTAGCAAGCACCATTCCAGGTTTCAGGCTGTAGTTGGGAATGAATCCACAGAGTGGTTTTCAGGGGAGGATTTTTTATCAGGGCACAAAATCAGTTAGCAGCTCCAACCAAGTCACAAGGTAGAGTTCCCTCTACTCTGACTCAGTGCATGAAATAAACTGCTACATGCTGTTGCACAATTCCCAACAAGATCTTATCTTCAAACCAGTTTGGAAGGAACAACAGTCCCTTTCCACCTCCCTCTACCTTCAGCCTGCTCCAGGTGTAGGGTTGCTGAGCCATCCTCAAACCCTTGTGATTAAAGACCAAGGGGGAAAGCCCAGTTACCTGTAGGGGTCCAGGTTGCAGATGGTGATGGCTGGAAACATCTTGGGCTCTGAATGCATGGACATGGTCAGGACGACAGGGTAGGCCCAGTACTGGCTGAACATCAGTGCAAACTGCCAGTACAACATGCCAAAGCTGGCGAGTAAGAGCAGAGTCCAAAAAGCTGTTTTCATCCTGTTGCTGTCTGAGCAGACCAGGCGGATGGTGCCGTGGATGGTGGTGTTCTTGCAGAAGAACTCAAACATCTCCCTGAAGGAATCGTAAAACTCAATCAAGCCTTCTTTCCTCTCTTCTTCTTCTCTTGCCCCTTCCTGCTCCATCCTCTAGGTCTGTTTCTGTTCAATTTAGAAATAAAAATAATAAAAATAACCTTATTAGAAAGCCCCCAGCCAGTCTGTGGACCCTTTCAAACAGGGTACCAAGGAGTGTGGTGGTATTAGCAAGGGCTGAAAATAACTGTGAGCTGAGACTCCTCTGTCTTTCCAGAGTTTGGCCACCAGGAAGTAGCAAGGAGGTCAAATGTTCTGCCTGCTGCTGCCCAAGTGAGGTGACACATTCTACCACACTTGCTAGGACTGCTGTTAGTGGGGATATGCAAAGTTCAAGTGACTAATACACCAGCTGCTGGGTAGTTTTCTTCTTTCTAAGAACACCAAGGACCAACGTTTAACTCTGAATCTGTGTCACTGTGCATCAATACAGAGCTGTAACCAGCTCGTTATTGTGAGTAGGTTGTTATACACTCATTGTGGATGTGACCATCAAGCCTGAGACAAGTCTCAGAAGCAGCAATGTGGCTTCACCCTTGTGTCAAGGAATCAGGATAAATCCAACTTCCAAGTCAATGAAACAGATGAATTCAGAGCTGGTTCCGATTTTCCTCTATGCTCTTTCACTCTGCAGAAAGGAGCTGAGAGGGTTAATTTCTGCCATCCCTGAAACAGAGCCACTTCCAAGATGTGATGTGGTAGGTATTTCATAGGTCAGATGAGCTGAATTGGGTATTTAGGAATGGAAGTGGAGAAAAAAAACTCAACAGAGGAGATGAACCAAACAGGATGTGGATAAAACATTCCAGATCCTGCTTAAAATAAAATGCTCTTGGGTTGTCACTAAAGATCACAGAAATATCAGTCACTGCTACAAACAGAAATGTTGCCTCCTATCTCTTTACATAAATAGCTTCTTCCAGAAATCTAAAAATCATCTCATTCTCTATGTTTTACAGAAGCTGATGATCACCCAAGAAGTGGCATAACTGGAAATCAAAATCCACATCTCCTTTGTCACAGTGAGTAAAACATCCATGATGCTGCTCTAGATACTTCCAGACTTCATGCTGATCAAAGTGTGGACATTATGGTTGTACCCAGCACAGACTTGAGGACTTTTTTCTAGGTTTTAGCACCAGATTGGGACACTGGGCTAATGGTGACATACTTGCACTTGCTGGGCATGACATCAAGCCCTGTAATGTGTGAGTTTCCAACATTACAGCACTCTGTGAATCACCCAGCCTATTATGCTATTAAGAGAAGTTTACTGAGTACACCACGTTGGTCCAGCCTGAAGTCCAAATTAAAACCTTATAAATACAGTAAAAGAGTTTAAAGAGGAGACAAAGAGCACACAAAATAACTAAAGAATTGTTGCAAGTGGGCTGCTTGATAACAAAATGAAATCTCAGGCCCCTTAGGGAGTTATGGACCTTGGTGGTGGCTCAGTGGGAGGTGACCACAGCCCAGCTGGTACAACTGCATCCTCAGCTGCCTGTGTTTTCTAAAATACTGCTTAACAACAGCACAAAATTAACTCAAAGGCACATGCACCTCCTGACCCTTTTATAATTAACAAATGACAACTGATTCTTCAAATTTCTTAGCTACGTTTGCCATTGAACGAGTACAGGAAGCCCAAGGAAAGTGAAGTATTAAAAATAGGTGTGAACAATGAAAAAGAATGAAATAAAGAGAAAACTTGTGATAAATTATTCAAGGGGAAAATGAGCAATTTCACTTTTAGCCACAAGGAAACCCTGTTTTTCTGCAGTTAACTGTGACTCCCACAGGACTCTGAACCACTGGTTACAGGTTTTATGAGCCAAGCTTCTATCTGAAGGTTTCTTCAGCCTAAAAGGACTATCTGTGGCCAACTCCAGGAATTGAGTCCATGGTAGTCTTTCTACCCCCCATTGTTACACATTTTTCAGATTTAAATTCTTATGCTAAATTGTATGTTCAATCTATATCATATTCAGGTCTTTCTTATTTTATTTGGGCAAGAATAAAGGAAAATAAGCCTGCTGCATATGTTAAGAAATATCTTTAATAAGTCTTTAAATATTCATGGTGTTTTAAGATGGGAATTAAAATTCTGTGAGACTAAACCAGGAAGATTTAATTTGTTACTAATCAGCCTTGTGCTAATGAGAAAGAAAAGTAGAACAAAAGTTACCAAAAGTGAATGCTAAGTTAAATTGAGAAACACTTTTTTTCTATGGATAATTTTGAATCTAAAAAACCACCTGTAAACATTCAAGTCATGACTTCCAGAGACAATTCACAATTTTTTGACATTCTTACTGGGCTTTTAAGGCTATGGATAGTTAGTTCATGCCATTTAAATCTGCATTCTTAAGACAAATGAAATGAAAGAGCACAGGATAATGAAAAAAACAAACAAAACCCCCCAAAAATACCCCCAGCCACCCAGAGGGAATCTTTCAAAACACACAAGTGCCCAGGAAACAGAACATCCTCTCTCCACTGCCTTCCCAGATGAGCCTACCACTAATTTATTTAACATAGCAATTGCTGTCAAGGACTTAACAAACCCTGGAACAGCAGCAGTGACCAGTTGCCTGTCCTGTCTGTGGTAAGTGCCTGGAGAGAGGCTGCAGGTTATAAGAAGCTCAGTGGAAGTTACAGAGCAGTGGCAATAAGTCCATTCAGCACAGTCTATATTCTCACAGCAGCTAAATGCTCAGCACATCCTAAACACACATGACTGTCAAGTCTTTAACCATGTTTAGGTCTCTCTGCCTACATCCCAATCGTACAGAAATACACAGCCAAACATCCAAGAGCAAATTGCAAAACACCCCACGGTACCTTGGCAGGAACTCTATCTCTGAGGGTTTAGAGCAGCCCCTAAACTCAGCCTTCAGCTTTCTCCTGAGCAGAAGACAGGTCTTGGTCCAAAGCTTGCAGATTTCCTTTTCTAGCTGCAGATAGATTGGGAGCTGTCCAGCCTATATGGATCCAATTGATGACATCAAAAGGGGCAGGACTTCAGAAACAGATCATGCAAATTATTCCAAGCGTGATCAAGGGAATAATAGGAAGTGAAGGAACTGGACAAACAAGTTAAGGTTATGCTTGAGTTAAAGTTGGCTGGAGTGGTGGTGTCTTCATTTTTTTCCCAATGATCAGAAAAGCTTTTTAGCCATAATTTCTACAAAAACCTAGGGAAATAACCCCGGATCCTGGGATGCTCTTCCCACTCTGGCCTTTCTCATCAAGGAACTAGCCTTCTGTCTTCTTCTCATGGTTTCTGGAGGCTTACATGATCGCTGATAATTGAAGCCATTAAGGTTTCCAAAGGTGTGCTTGAGGAATTGCATACCTCAGTGTAATCTAAAATGATCAGCTGATCAGTCGAAGACACGTGGCAGTGGATTTCTTCCTGCTCCCCCAAGAACATTGCTCATCCACAGTGTCCTGCTCCGTGCTCGTGAGGAAATTTAAGCCTTGAATAGACTCAATCAACTGTCATACTCAAAGCAGAACACCCAGGTTTTGTAACGTTGCTTAGTTAAGACTTGCAAATGTCTGCAGAAGTGATGCAGAAGCAGGTTCAGGATTCTGGGACTGCTAAAACACAATCACCTCAGATTGCTTGCATAATTAGCACTGACATCAGCCCAGTTGGAAAAACAGCCCTGCAATGGTTTTGCAAGAAGCTGGTTCTATGAAAACGTGAATACTCTAGATAGGGATAATGTTTAGAGCTGCCTGCTGCTTAAAATCAGCTGGAATTGGATTTTTTTCTATTACATTGGAAGTTGCAAAATACTGACATTTGCAAAGGCAATTAAAATTTCTTGTGAAATTTGAATTCACAAAGGAGAAAGGATAAAGATCAGGGGAAATATTCTTCTGGTTGTGACTGATTTCAATCCTGTTTACACTTTTGACAATTACTTTGTGCTGGATTTGGTTTCAGAAAGTTGATGGGTAGAATGTTCCTCCCAAATTTTAAAACAATTATTCTAAAGGATGTAAATCCAATTAAATAGCTACTGTTAGTGTGTTTTGGTATCAAAAGGAAACAGCACAAAAATATTTGGAAAAAATTTTAAATCTAAAAAAATCCACACAGTATTTTGAAGAGTAAAATTTAGCTTTAATTAAAATCCAGTTGGCTCTTGAATGAACATCTACAGCAGAGCCATTTGCCACTGATTGATGAAGAGGTAAATAATTAAATTCTGATTAAAAAACCCCTTCAGATCACTGAAAACCTAATTCTGCCACATCCCTTTATTCATCCCCCACCCTTCTTTCTCTCCTTTTGACATTGTGCAAGAGAAAATGGCAACAATAAATCCTTGACAATGGAATTATTGCACAATGAACATACACAAGACAAATTCTCTTGCTTCATTGTGGCTGCAGGCTCGGTGTAGAGATTCTCTGGCAACACATCAGAACAATCCCTTGTGAGCCAGCCATGAGTTTTTTCCTGCAGGAAATGGAGAAGAACTGGCTGTGCAGACAAGATTGTCCCTCAAGCAAGATACCAGTGCTGTCTGCACTTGTTCTTTTGTCACCCTGCCTCCTGAACTGGGAGCAGAGGGGAAGAAAACTCCATCCCTGCTGAAAAAGTTGGTGTTTGTTTCCAGATACTGAGATGACAGAGATAAGGCTAATGAGAAAGTCCTTTAAGGTTGCAAAAAGGTTGGGCAGAAAATGTTTCTTAGTGCTTGCAGCCCTTGCAGTGGAGGGAAGGAGTGAGTGTAACACGTGCCCTGGGTGGCAGCAGCCAATGTCAGTGGTTGAACACCCACTCTGGACACATCACACTTCACACAGGAGGATGTTCCCCAGGCTGGAAGCTTCCAAACCCCTTTTCCCCTGAAGTGCAATTTCCTCCCCAGTTGAGGCTGCTGGAATTTCATCCCATTTAGTTGAAAAAGACAGTATAGGTTAAATAAAAAAGGAATTTTTTCCTTTTGTTTTTAAGCTTTTAGATGGCTGCCACGTGTTAGAGGAACTGTCCAAATCCCACCCTTGACCTTGGCTCTGTGCTGGCCTTGGTC